TATGTACATCAATAGTCTATATGTATAATTTTTTTGCTATAATAAGTAAATTGGTAAAAAAAGTAATAAGTAAGATATAAATTTCGTCGCAATTAGCCTGAAACATATGGATTGATCAAAAACTGTCTAATCAAGGTGCGATAAAGCAAATTCGAGGCGTGCGTGTAGATTACACGAGCGCGAGCGGCATGATCGCGAACTATAGCAAAGTGATGGAGAGCTGAGGGGAGCATCTCGGCGCCCTGCAGTAATTCTCTGCGCCTCTGTTTTTACTACGAATCACGCTCGTAAAACGTGTACGTTAAACGTTATGTAATTATAAAAATTTCTAGGCTTTAATCGCGTCGAAGCGTTAACATACAACACGTAGCCGCAATTGAGCGTTCTGTTACGTACAACATATGAGCGCTTCTTTCCTAATCTATACCTACGATTAATCTCTCTATTATTCGCTTATTAATTTTATCTCCTTATTAACGGAATGCTGACCACAATTTTACTATTCCTAACGTTTTATTCACCCGAAACTTGTTGCCTCTTTTAGGCGAGTGCCGAGGGCACCTTTACAAAGTGAGATACGTTAGACACAATGGATTTTACAAATCGACGAATGAGAGGAGAGACCTCCCTCCCATGGTTCCTTATCATGGTGGGACAATCGTTTACCGTGGATATTCCCGCCAAAGTTGTCCGGACTCGGGACCGTCGAGGACGTTAGGTATAGGTGGGCGCAACCGACACACAACGAATTACGGTGTAACGGTCAACTGATATTGAACTGGTATGTTGTTGTGTACTGAGTGGGTCCAACCGACATCGCTGTTAAACGATCCAGCTCGATCCTCCCGTCTGCTTTAATCCTTCTGACTTCTTCCTCCGCTGCCTGTTCTAGCTTTCTCGATACCGTTCATCAGAATCAGTCGAGACGTCGCTGAGTTGTTATCACCTTCATCTTTCATCCAGCCTGGACAGAATAACGAAAACTTCACTTCGTTGGACATGTCGTCTATCAAAGTGAGGCACGCATACACGAAGAAAGAAATTTCGGTGACGTTTTCCAATCTAATCACCGTGGAGGATGTGAAGGTATGTCGTTTCCCCTGCTATTTCCTCGTCACCTTCTAACGCCGTATGTATTTTATGGAAAAAAAGAAGAAATGTATACGATTATGTGCATGTAAATTTGCAAAACGAGAATGCCATGGATCGCACTGCAGCATTATGCAAGTCTTATTGTCGGTTCACATTTGCTAGATACAATAATGGGGAGTTACAGATATGACATAAACAGTAACTTATACTGATTATTCATCACTGAATATTTTTATTGCATTTTTGTTATCAATTATTATCTATCCGTGTGTATCTCAAGACACACTTTTCAGCATGTATGTGCATCATGTATTATAGTTTCACGTTTGCCAATGTATGCTGTCACATATGCTAATGCTATGCGACAAAAACTCAGTGTAGTAAATTGTTTCATTACTTTTATTACAATCTGAAAATTAGAACGCATAAGAAGCACAGTAGCATAAGAACAGTAGGTACACTTCGTCAAGAATGGTCAAGAAGTTGGAAATGAATACGACAATTTGCACCACTAATACCATGGTGGTTGTCATGGTAACTGGATGACAACTCAAGCTGGATGCGTAATGAAAAACACAGGCAACATGAACAGGGAATGTTATTCTGTTCCTGTTGCCTGTGTTTTTCATTGTGCATGCAGCTTCGCGCAATCAATTAACAACATGACGGACGGTTTGCCGCAAAGATCAAAGGTCAAAGATTAAAGATCAAAAACTCAATGTAGTAAATTGTTTCGTTACTTTTATTACAATTTGAAAAATTAGAGCACGTAAGAAGCCATTGAAAACCATCTCGAGCTTGTTTTTGAAATTGCCAGATTATGGCTGCGCGTGGTACTCTAGCGCAGCCTGCGTAGCCATAATCTAGAAATGTCAAAACAAGCTCGAGATAGTTTCCAATGGCTTCGCAGGTAGCATTAATGTTTAAAAGACATCATAAAGATGTCTTTAAGATGCCAGAAATCTGGATTCTTATGTGCTCTAATTTTCAAATTGTAACGAAAGTAACGAAACAATTTACTACATTGAGTTTTTGTCGCATAGTATTAGCCTAGGTGTGATAACTGATGTGATAGCATACATTGCGTGGCGAACCACGTGACACATACATGCTGAAAAGATGTCTCATAAGATAGAAAATAATTGATAGCAATGGTTATTGGTACTCTGGGTATTTAAGTTATTTTTATGTCATAGTGAAATTTTGTTCAGTCTTGTATACCTATTTAATAATGTAAGATTATATTTCTAATAAAAAATATTCGCTGAGATATAAGATTCGACTGAGTATCACGTAATGAAATACATGATGTTTTATTGTTTTCCAGCATGAGGTTGAAAAACAGCTGCATGTTAAAAAGGACTTGCAACGATTAATCTATTGTGGGAAAGAATTAGAGGATGGCTATCACCTTTATGATTACAATGCATGTTTTGATCATGTTATATTGCTTATAGAAAAACCAGCGGTAGATAATGTTGAGAATAAAGTAACTTCTGCCAATGAAGAAAGTACAAAGAAGGAAAAAAATTGCGAACAAGAGGAAGACGCGGAAGAATTGGAAAAGGCTGAGAGTTTGTATTACAAAATTGGAGATGCTGTTGATTGCAAAGAGGAAAGAACTGGTGCATGGTTCGAAGCCATTATAAAATATATTTATAAAAAGGGAGATGAAGTATTTTATAAAATATTATGGGAGTCTGATAATTCTTATGACAATGTATCTGAAGCGTATATACGACCACGCGCGCGACGTTCTGTACCAGTCGACGAATTGTCTGTTGGTCAAAAAGTCATGATTAATTATAACACTGATGATTATAAGATAACAGGGTGGTGGTATGACTACACGATAGCCGACATAATGAAGAAAAGAGGACGGTATGAGCTGGTTGGGCAATTGCATTACGAGAAGTATGTTTTTGTTCTGCCAATCATTATCCAATCATTATCCTGTTAGTATATAAGGCAAAATGATAAAATGCAAAATTTAGAATCTATATAAGATTATAGAATTAGATTATTTGTAACCTCAAGGGAAATAATAAATGTGATATAGAAATTTTTCTACAATAATTCTCGTACATATTAATATAGAAAAAAAAATAATTTGTATCAACAATTTTTTCTTTATAAACAGTGACAGTGAGCTTTGCATTCGAAAGACAGTCAGGGAAGAAATATACGCGATAGAAGCACCCAAATTATTAACAGAGAGAACTGCAGAAGACGAACGGTTCATGATGAGTAACGGCAAATGCAGACCTGTTCCCGCTAATTGTGAGGAGTGCAGGGACAAGCCTGACAGGGGATGTCGATCGTGCGGCTGTAATATTTGTGCAGGCAAAGAAAATGAGGAGTCGCTTCTAATTTGCGATGAATGCGAAAATATGTTTCATCTACAATGTCTGACCCCACCGCTCCTGGAAGTGCCGCAGGAAACTTATTGGTATTGTCCTGATTGCAAAAATGACGAAAATGAAATTGTCAAGGTACGTGTACCTATCTTTATTAATATTTTGCCGCAATCTTTATTATCATTGTCATCACCATTCTATTGATTATAGGTAGGAGACAAACTGAAAGGCAGGAAAAAGAAATACGGCCGTGGCGGGATGGCTAATGTTCGGAGACAAGAAATTTGCTACATGGTACCCCACCATCATTCCGGACCAATTCCGGGTGTGGACGTTGGTACGACTTGGAAGTTTAGAATTCAGGTAAAAAGCAAATTCTAAATTCTAAATCTTACATAATCCCTCGACAATCTACCAAATGAATATGAAAAAAGAGATGGGTTTGCGTAGGTTTCGGAAGCAGGAGTGCATAGACCGCCCGTAGGCGGCATTCATGGACGAGAGGACGACTGTGCGTATTCTATCGTTTTTTCGGGCGGATATAAGGATGATTACGACATTGGTGATGAGTTTGTATACAGTGGCTCGGGTGGTAGAGATTTGTCAGGTATATCAAATTAAAAAGTTACCGATTTACCATAATTTAATCACAAAATTATTCTATATCTGCTCAATGCACGTGGTATATTCGTTTGTGTTTTTTTATGGATACACAGGTAACAAAAGAACCAACAAGGAGCAAAGCAAGGACCAGGAGTTAACCAGGATGAATTTAGCATTGGCTAAGAGTTGTGATGCTCCCGTAAATGACGAGGAGGGTGCGACAGCCTCTGACTGGAAGAAAGGGAAAGAAATTCGAGTCGTACGCAATTATAAGTTAAAGAGTAAATATGCACCGGAAGAAGGTAACAGGTACATTGACTGCATTGTTCGTACTTTCATAAATAACGGATAAAACCTAACAATTCTCCTTCTTTAACAATTCTTGGTCTTGTCATAGATATGATGGTATATATAAAGTGGTACGATACTACCCAGTCCAAGAATCCGGCTTCCGCGTATGGAAATACGTACTAAGGAGAGATGATCCTATTCCTGCACCGTGGACTAAAGAAGGAAAAAAGAGAATTGCTAGTCTTAATTTGAAGATGCTGTATCCTAAGGGATATCTCAAAGACGAGAAAACGATGAAGACATTCGATGAGACCGGAGCTAAGACTGAGAAACGACTTGCTAACGGGGATGAAGAAAACGACGTGGACATTAAGAAATATAAGAAGATTAAACATGGCTATGATTTGGATAATGAACTGAAAGATTTAATAAGAAACGATAAAATAAATACTGAATTGTGGAATGAATGTTTGGCGACTTTGAGTGGTGGAAAACCCGCCTTCTTGAATAGCGTTTCAGCGAGGTAATGTTATTTATAGAAAATGTTGGGTCCTTTTTAAATGACTTAAAGTAATCAACCTGACACTTGACACAATACAATTTTATATTTTGCAGATTCAAGTGCGCTTGCTGTCAAGGAATCCTGTACAAGCCTGTAACGACTCCTTGTGGACATAACTTCTGCCTAAAATGCCTGAAACGGGCCTTTGAGTCTAACATACATTTCTGCCCTTTGTGCAAACATAACTTAAGTGAGATTGACTTTAAGATCAATAATCATCTGTCATCTGCATTACTACTAATTTATCCTGGCTACAAGGGCGAACAATAATGTCACTTTCGCAGTAACTTACGAGTCGTTGATTTTCTATGCTCGAATTTATTAAACTTTTTTAACATTAATTTATTATCAGTTTTAAAAGATGTTTTTTTTTTTTTTTGACACAACTGTATTGTGTAATGTATACAGTTGTATAATTTAAAGTTGAAACTTAAAAGCATGTCACATATAAAATAAAATAGAATACTTTATGTTATGTAAATTAAAGCGAAATCGAAATCGCAGTAACTTACGAGTTGTTGATTTTCTATGCTCGAATTTATTAAACTTTTTTAACATTAAATTATTCAGTTATAAAAAATGTTTGGTTTTTTTTTTCTTTTTTTTGCAACTGTATTGTGTACTGTATACAGTTGTATAATTTAAAGTTGAAATTTAAAAGCATGCCACATATAAAATAAAATAGAATACTTTGTTATGTAAATTAAAGCGAAATCGAAATTAATAAAGTATTTTATCTTTCAGTTTGTCTTTCCCTTATAATTTCTTTGTCAACATAATTCTAAAATAGATATATCAGCCATGTTTAACACACTTGACATACTTCGTTAGAGCATTTACTTTTTCTTCTACAGTTCTACAGTCGCGAGACAAGCTCGCGTCGCGTCGCGTATATTCGTTTACCGGCTTGCCGGTAAACCTTGCCGGATCTCGTCCGGATGAACGGTGACGTAGACGGAACGCAAGGCAGTACTGAGTATGTCCACGTGCTTAGGTTTGCATGACGCGTATGTAAATAAAATTTGAAAACAGATTTGTCGCGGAAGCGTAAGCCTCGAGGACTCGCGTTGGAAATTACGATTTATGTCTCAAGCAAATTGAATCTTTCCGAGATCCTCCAGGATTCACGTTTTAACAGAAGATTTAAATAAGAAAGTGTGTTACAACTACGCTTGTTTTTAGGGCGACTGATAATCCTTCCATAGGACGGCTTCGACCGAATTCCCCGATCAATTCAGCCGGCAGAATCGCTTAAATTTTTTACATAATTAACATCATATATAGTTCATCGTTCTCGATCTAATCCTCTTTCCCCGTATGTTAAATCAGATGAAATTAATAATATTAAATAATTTTACCCTTATTTATAAAAATAGTACAAATATTACTTTACCCAGTGGCGTAGCAGGAAGTGACGACTCCCGGGACGATTTCTCTTCCCCTCATAGCTCGTGTCTTCTTTACTACACTATTAATGGCAACCATCAAGAATAATTAACAGATAGCTTTTGCAATTAATTAAGAAATATCTTTATTTTGCACGTTGCTCCTTCTCTCTCACATACAACATACTGGTATTTCATATCAATTTCATAAAGAATAAAGTCGCCTGTACATCGTGCCGTTTGAGAAATGTTATTTTTATTGTATTTTTGTTCCTTTAGAAATAACGAGCGTTTTAAGTACTTACTGGTATAACCCTTTAGCAAACGTAGATGTAGAACTTAAAACGGTAGAACCGCCAGTACGCTAGCACAGAAGTGTGAGCCGCGAATGTGCATTATACAGCGGAGCAAGCGGAGCAGGCCACGTCGAACGGTCGAAAAGACTGGGAAAGACTCAACTCGATAGCTGAAGATCAAGACAATCGAGTCGCGCGGAGAAAGAAAAGAGCGCAGCGTAAGCGTTCTAAGCGCTTAATAAATAAAAGAAAAACAGTCTTTCTATCCTACATCGAAAATTATGGCGGCAAAAGAAACGCCAAATAAATTAAACACTGAGAATTAAAAATGCGTTTATAATATACTTTCCCGTTACGTATTATAAATATTATAAATTGTGCCTTAGGGCAGTTCTAGTGCAGCCCAGATACCTTGCACGCATGTAATATAATAGTTTAAAATCAAAATTTAAATTGCTTACACGATGCGAATTATTTTTATGTGAGTATAACTGTGAGCAGAATAGCAAATAAATTAGCAAACGTTTTATATAAAAGTAAAAAGGTATTCACATATCATTATTGTAAGACTTATTTATTATCATGTAGAAAGGTTCGATGTGTTTTACTTTAAAAATACTGTGTTGAAAATTAAATCTTTACGTTTTATTGCATAAACAAATGTGAGTTTAAGAATATAAATATATGTGCGAATAACACCGTAAGACTGATTGATCGATATCACTTGGCATGTCTTAGTGTGTTCTAATAATGTAAGTGAAGAATTTGAACTTTCAATGCAAACCTCACACTTTACAGAGATTGTGTCTAATTGTATACTTACAAGTAATCATAGCTTTTTTATTCTAACGTAAGATAGCTTCATAAGGATATAAGCGAAGTAAAATGATTTTTCCGACGAATCGTTGAGAGAATCTTACTCATGTATCTTAATTATTTTAAGCGCTTTTATCAAGCGGTGGCACCACCTCGCTGATCCACTTTAGGTAATCGTCGTTTCCGTTTTGTATCTGAAACGTAAAGGTTTAAAAAGTTTTAGTGTCAGTATATACTAGTATATGGTATAATTATGTCTTATCTTTCCCAGGTTGTTTTAAAAATGTCACGTAGAGCTCTTCCATCAGAATTAAGATACGCAAGTTAACTTACAGGCAGGGAAATCACTTCGCAAACCGTGTA